CCCGCCCCGGGCGGGGGCCCCCTGCCGTTGCAGTCTCTGATGCTGGGTACCTGGCTGTCCTCTTCGGTGGCTTTGTCCAGGCACTGGTTACTGTTCACATGCAGCAGGGTTAATTTCTTAAAGACAAAAGAAAAATAAATTAGCTTTACAAAAATCACCAGGAAGAAGCTAACCAAAAAGTTTCTAGTGGACATTAAAGGTAAGTAGGAACTAGACAAGACCCCGTGGTTACTGACTCCAGATCCCAATTCTGAAGAACACTTACAAATGCTATTTGATGTTGCAAATCCTGAAAACATTGCTTCATGAAAAACAGAACAGTCTGAACTTTTAAATTACATTCTTCATCAAGCAATATCCACCATTCTTTAAAGAGCACTATACACAGCTAGGGCTCTTCGAGGAGTTAGAAATTCAAGTTTGGTAAGATATACAACTTCAATTAAAACAGTAGTTTTAATCAGATCAGAATGAACACATTGAGTATGTGTTAAAAAGTAGGCATTTCTTCTCAGCTGGGGACACAAAACTGACCTTACACTATGTTCTTTTAGCACTATGTTCTTTTTAAAAAGTATCTTCTTTAAAAAAAGATGTGTAGTAATTCACAAATATCTACTAATAATATTTTTGCCAATACCTACTAATCCATACACCACTCCATCTACCTCAGCACTATCCTCATGTAAAAGAGATCTTTGGAAGTTGCATTTCCTCCCACCATACTATGGATACTCATCAGTACATCAACTTGTCTATGGTACTGACTGGCAGTACTATCAGTATTTCTTCTCTCACTCAGCAACACAACCAGGACACTGGACTGACTGAAAAGTGGCAAAACACACAGGCCTTATGTGTTCAAGCAGCAAAGGGGAAAAAAAAACCCCAAGACGCCACCAAAAACCTGAGGACATCAATCTGCACTCATACAGCAGCTGAAGAATGAAGAGAATTGAAACAGACTTAAGTAGACAAATAACTAAACACAAAACTTTTTTTTCTGCATTCCCCACCTCTCCCTTTCTTTTTCTTCCTGGTAGACATTAAGGGAAAGGAGTTTCTTACGTGCCTCCTGAACTACAGAAAAATTACCCAACTATGTGGGCATGAGTTACGGAATCACAAAATGTTAGAAGTTGGAAGGGACCTCGAAAGATCATCCAGTCCAACCCCCCTGCCGGAGCAGGAACACCTAGATGAGGTCACACAGGAAGGCGTCCAGGCGGGTTTTGAATGTCTCCAGAGAAGGAGACTCCACAACCTCTCTGGGCAGCCTGGTCCAGTTCTTGCTAAGTATTCTCTGACTTATTTTTATGCTTTATTAGCCAGCTTTCAGTAAAGTTCTGAAGGTTATACCTACATTTTCAATTGACAGAATGAAGAAACACATACAAACAAATTAATGGTTGAGGATCGACACAAGGGAAGTCTGTTTTACAGTCTGTGGCAATCATTGCAAGGCCGACTGTTGCAATTAAGTGTCTAAAGATGCAACGTTTTTACCATCGATAAGGTAGAAGCAAAATAAAAAACACTTGCTGTCTGGTGAATCACTGCATGTAGTAACATTACTCATCTTTTTTACTTAAATCAGATAAATTAACTACATAAGAACCAAAAAAAGATGGTTCCCAAGACTCAGACTTAATAATTTCAATTAACATTTAATCCTGAAAGCCTTCAACAGCTTTCTTCAATCTCCTATCAGCAGTAGTTAGCAATGTGCAGAAATCCTACCAGAGATCCACTGTCTTTCACATTAACTGCCATCCTAATGAAAAATATCATCATTCACATGCACTTCCTTTTAGTCTTAAAGGCTGTAGGTTTTGTTAACACCTCAGCTACTAAAATCTATAGCAAGTGTTTTAGGTAGAAATTCCCCTCACCTTTTTTCTCTTTTTTAAAAAAAAATCAGTTAAATTAATTTTTAGTAGCTAAATATCTACATGTTCTCTTTATGAAATAGTCATCATGATAATACTGGCAAGATGCTTCTTCCACCAATCGTCTTGCAACCGTCTTTCACAGTAACTGATTTTAAATTAACAAGCTTGAGAATTAATTTTTTCTAACTAGTCATGCCAGAAGTCAGAGCTCTTCTCTGCACTACTCAACCACAAAATTGTTTTTAGAGCTTGCAAATTAAATTAATGATGAATGGATCAACGGTCAATGATTTCTAGATCTGGCAGTTCAACATCAAAATAAATTTGAACATTATGTACAAGAAAGAAAATTATTAAAATGAAGTTGTTTTAAGCCTCTCTACCTTAATTGCACCACGATTAGAAATGTAAAATCTGCCTTATAATTTTGGGATGCTGATTACTTTAATTAGAAAAGTATTTCCTTTTACCCTTGTACAAGATAAGATGCGGAATTTGTCATAAGATCATAACAGAGGGGACGTAATCCTGACTTTGCTCCCTGCAGTCCCACACTGAAATACATTGCTTTGCAAGCTCACGTAAAAACCCAAATTGTCTCATTTTAATGTCACAAGTTATTACAAGACTTACCACTGGATCATATTCCCAAAGCTGATTTCCTTTTAGATGGTGGCACTTGAGCATCGTTACTGGGCCATTAAGTTTGGATACATCTAAACACAAATCATCTGTTCGAATTTCTTTGTTGGCAGTATATGAAAAAACCTAGACAGAAAAAGAATGAGAGGAACTGAAACATTTAATTTTTTGCTTGAAAGTTTATCTAAAACCTTTTGCAATCAGGACTCAAAAAACCTACAAATAACAAGCCACCAACAAATCTTCTAATGTATTTCTTCTTACAGGCATCTTCTTCAATGAGGGTTTCCTAAACTTTAAAACTTGAGCATATTTTAAGGATAACTACAGAAATAATTGAAAATTTGTTCTGATGAGAAGCAGTGTTCCAAATCATTCAATATATTAAGATAATAAAAAAATTTTTCACCTGATTGCCACCCATCCCATGGCAGTTAAAGATTCCAACTTTCTCATTTTCTTTTCTTGCCATGTTATCCAGACATTGATTTGTCTCCACGTTTCTTATCTGTGAATGAAAAAGAGCACATCACCAAAGGTGGTTGTTTTCAGAAGAGAACCAGGTCCATCTCAAACCACACTGGTACCAGTTCTCTCTGCTATACACCCCGAGGTTACGTGACTGAAATGTAAAATACAGGAATTGTACTACAAGAGACCCCTATCACACAGAATCTCATAGAATGTTAGGAGTTGGAAGGAACCTT